AATAACTAACAAATACATACATCTTTATATAAAATCTAAAGTCCATATTTCTTGCAATCTTAAAGGGGCCCTGCAATCATATTTAAGCGTCTACCTTTTTTGCGGTTTCCACGTCTCTTGAGGTTCGGGCAAGCCAGTGGGTACGGAGAGAGTAACGAAATATCCGTGCGTCATATTTTAACCGGAGGACGCGGAAACTTCCTCTACCGACGGGGGCGACCCGCGGTACCGAAAGCGCGCAAAATGTGACGTCTTAGGTCCTGGGCTTGCTACTGGTCAAAGCTGCTAAAAGCTTCTGTTTAGTCGAAATACATAAACATAAGCGGCGCGAACCGTTTAAATTATTTATAAAAGTAGTTTTTGTTCAGTATTTTAGATCAGAAAAGAAAAAAAAATGCAGTTTATAAAGTACGGAAACAAGAAATGACCCGTCGACATACCCGCCACCAAGCGGTGGAAAAGGCGGCGGATACTAGAAAAGAGTTGAGTAATGCGGATTCTTGGGCGAGTTGGTACTGAAACTTGGAGAACATAATAGCGCTTCACGACAGGGACGAAGGGTAGGAACGAGACAACACAATGCGCTAACTTCAACTGGTTTAATCGTCAGAAAATCAAAGGTATAAATACTCTGCATCATCGCGCATCATCGTGCATCATCGCGCAAAAGAGTAGTGGGATCAGGCACCGACACGGAAAGATCCCGGATGTACGCGGCGGCGCTGCGGTCGTTTACGGACTGGAGGATCCGACTGGCTCCGAGCGTTCCGAAGGCCTTCAGCGAGTAGCTTCGTCTTGCGTTTTGGCCATTTCGCGGTACGGCAGCGCGAAGTGGCTTCCATTCTGAACTGATCTTTTTACCCCGTGCTTGCTGTCGTTTGTGGCCAATGAAGTGTCATGCCGAATTAGTGTTTAATCGCGCCGCAAATGCATTGAGAGCCGCTCTGGCTGCCCGCTGTATACAGCCTATCCAGAACACGCTTGCGTGGCGCCCTCTCGCGCCGTCGACACGCAGTGCGGCAGCCGTGAGCGCTCACTGAACTCACTATCCCTCCTCAAAATCACGGCCACCCAAGCAACCAAGGACGTCATGAGGGAGGTTATTTTATGCTTGTTTTTGTAATTTTGATTTGCCTATAACCAGGGATGGGCAAAATATATGCAAATATGTATCGAAATACAAATACAAAATACTTCGTTAAAAATGTATTTAATTACAAATTTAATTACATTTTCAAAAAAGCATTTAAGTACAAGATACAAATACAACCAAATGTATTTTATCTCCTCCAAATACTTTTCCAAATACATTCCTCAAAATTTGCGTCAGCGACTTCAGGGCACCTGCAACGGGTTTCTGGGTATCTCATTTTAATTTTGCATCACACACTCGGGAGTTAGTGTGCGATAGTAACATAATAAAAATATAACAACAAAAAAATGTAATCAACTTGGACGTAATAGGTGAACAAAGTACAGAGCTTCAAGCAGCTTTTTTTGTCGATTACATTTTGGTATAGACCAACAAAGAACCGAGACGACCAAGACGTGCAGCGCTAGCGAGAGAATTTTTTATTGTTGCAACCCGCACCAGTTAAAAAATCTGGACGACCCGCGCTTTTAGAATGTTCCAGGCAAAAATGTGGATGGAAATCAGACTGGGAAGAATCACAAGTTGTCACAGTCACTTACTTAGCCAGTCTGCCTGTGAACGTCGATTTCGTCACTATACTTGCCCTGGACTAGCACAGTAGTCACAAAGTCAATAAACGCTTGTGCTTGATTGAGAGACACGGCATTCGGTACAGAACATAGTTTTCTTTCTGCTCTGCACAGTGACAATAAATTTGAGGGATGTATTTTCGCCCACATAATTGTATTTAATTACAATTGTATTTGAAATACCCACATTTTAGTATTTAAATACACACGTCAAATACATTACCCAATTTGTAATTAAATACAAATGCAAAATATACAAAGTATTTGAAATACGTATTTGAAATACTTGTATTTGAAATACAGCCCATCCCTGCCTATAACTTTTAAAATAAAGCGAAATTCAAGAGAAGAAAAGTTACATTGAGTTACTACGGTCAGTGCGCTCAGGTTTGGTGCAAAATAAAAACCAGTAAAAAAGTGTTTGCAGGGCCCCTTTAAAATCCGTGACAAATACATCAAACACTGCTATTAGTCCCACGCATAAAATGACAAAAACAACTGAGCGTTCCCCGTAGGACCTTCAGTGTCAGGGATGAAACATTCCGCTTTGAAAATCCAAGGGATAACAGAAAATCAGCGGACCTGGGACAAACTGGTCCTCTTTCAGTTACTGTTACGGCATGGACCGTCACCGAGGACACCGAGGAAGACAACTTAATAGCCCTAATAAAGGCTTCACCGGAATATTTACGAATTTTATCCTCATTTAAAGAGTTTAATGATTTATAATCCCCTACCACTTGAATATCAACAACCGAAGCTCTACGTCTTTTACTAAAACTAAATCTGGATATCTTACTTCATCTCCAACAACCACCCTCGGCTCCTCCGTGACACTCCATCCCTCAACTCTAGCCGTTTCCGCCACCCAATTCGCAACACAGTTACGTCGCTCCAGCCTCGGCGCATGGGTTCTTGGGCATACCTGGGCAACATGCGTATGTGTCTCGGGGAAGAGACAACCAGCCCTGCAGCGTGTATCCTTTATCCGGCCCCTCGCACATCTCGTCTTGGTCGGGAGCGCGTGGGCTCCAAGTTTGATTAGATCCACGTACTCCCTCCCAGTCAGAAACAGCGGAGGGTTACGGACAAAGGACGCTACCACGCACGAACGTGCTTCCGCCAAACCCTTAGTGTCCACCATTTTCAACAACTGGCCTCGCCAAAAGTTGCGTTCCTGATTCCTTGTCTTTACAGATGTATTTTTAAACTTCGCATATTTCTCAGCCCTTTTTAACTCCTCACTCCAAGCGTGCGTAAACACAAGGCTCCTCAACATTGCATCATCCTTCTCAGCCACAGCCAGCACCCTGGCACGCCGAATCCTTGGGATCATTGTCACAAGACAATTGACCCCTGAGGCCGCCGTCCCCAACTGCAGCATAAAAAAATGCCAGCGGTGTGTCCCGAGGTAGATGGAGGAAGAGCCTCACTGCGGCTCGAATTCTACGGTCCAGTTGAGCCAACAAGGCCTGCGATTTCACTCCCATAAATAAACCGTAAATAAGACGTGGAACCAGGGAAAAAACCAAAAGATTAATCTTTTGTTGGGGCTTCAGCGGTGCCTTTTCCAGTCTCGAAATTAATTCCTCAAAATTTATTCCCTTAAGCCGAATCTCTCCAATACTATTTAGCTCAACGCCTAAATACTTCCACGTCTCTGTACACCTCAGTGGGTGCAATACTTCTCGCTGAATTCTAAATTCGAGTGGACACATCTTTACTTTTTGATTCCCTGTAATTCCAACTAGACTCAGTGCGGAAGATTTCGAAACATTAGCCGCAAAGCCCCTAACACACAAAAACTCTTCGAGCTTGTCCAGCAGAAACTGGAGGCCCTGCGCTGACCCGGCCAGAAGCACAAGGTCGTCAGCGAAGGCTAAAGAGGAGCAACTTCGATCTCCTAGGCGAACCCCAAATTCCTTAGGAATTTCACTCAAAAATTCATTTAACACTGTATTAATAAGCAATGGCGATAACGGGTCACCCTGCCGGACACCTCTTCCCGGCTTAACTACTCTTTTTACTCCTCCGTACTGCAGTTGGGTAGACGAGCAATCGTAAAACCACTGAAGGTAACTGAAAACAGTCCGTCCAACCATATGATGGTGAGCAAGAGCATTGATTATAGCAGTATGAGTTGCACAATCAAAAGCCTTGGACAAGTCAATACTTGCCATACACTGTTAGAAAAACTCCTGTCAAAGTATGGGACACATACATGCTAACCTTGTTGCCACAACATGTACTGTATTACCGGACTACAGAACGTGTTCCATACTTCTTTAGTACGGGACATGTTGTTGTTGTATGGGCAGCCACAATAAGTTCCATACACCATCATCACGGAACAAGTAGTGTATGCTACAGGAAATGTACCATCATGGCACACAGCAGCACATGTTCGGTTGCAAGCCATGCTAGAACATGTGCCATTTTTACGAAGTACATCACATGTTCCAATGCGTCCAAAATGACACAGGTTACATTTCTTGTACTTACGGAAAAAGTTCAGTCTTGTTTGTGATAGTACTCGCCCCATTTTATGTTACTACCGCTATTCACGAGTACATCCGGGCTTTGTATGTCACATGCCAAGTTTCTCCTTAAAAAAGCTGATATGTGACATGCAAAACAGGGATGTCCTGACAGTTTGCAGGCGCAACTTGATGCAAGTCTTTGCAACATAAAATTACCTGCAATGCGGAAATGTTCCCCAAACTTGTATGGAAAATTTGAACTGTCGTATCTAATGCGAGCACTAACCTGAAAAACAGAACAATGAATCTGTGACATATATACTTAATAGAACAGCCAGGAATGCTATGAGAAAGTGCTCGCATGCTACGCCAAGTTTAGAGATAGTTGTACATGTAGGGACGGGGATAAAGGCATATAAACATTTGTAAATATCCTTATGAAACGAATTTCACGCTTGGTCCTTCTGGTTCCAAACCATAGCAACGGACCTATTGCGAAGAAGACTGAACAGTTTGCTGCTTCAAAAATTTTTACATTTATTTTTCTTTTAAATTACTAGAACACATACACAATAAAAAAACATTTCATGCCGCAAATATATTTGGGGCAGCTCAGCCATCAAAAAAAAATATCAAAGTGAGCAGTCCGCTAAAGAAAAATGTCACAAAAATTTATGCTGACAAGCTACACCTCGAAAAGAACCATCGTGGCCTATGACAACAAATAGTAATATTAACAATAGAAAAAAATGAATCTAAACAAGCACCGATTTTTCTTTCCACTTCTTTCGGAACTTCGAGAACTCTTGGTGGGCTCCCTGCGCCTTCAGACGCACCAGAGCAACTTTTCTTCAAGACTGCCGGGACCCCTCCTGTGGGTCCATTGCCACAAGTTGCCTGAAAGAAAGAGCACTTAATTAATGGGCGGGATTATTTAGAGGAAGATGTCTAACAGAAGCTAAGGAGTTCCTGACTCCTTCTTTAACTTCTCTATCGGTTAGTAATCCAATCTGAACGAATTCTAAATCTTGCCTATAGTATACTTTCAAGCCGAGACAAACGCCCCTAATCTGGACAGTCCGTGCACACACCATGAGCTTCCAAGTCTGATCCTTGCATCAAAACAAATTTTGATTGTACAAAAAAAAATTTCAACCCACTGGCATCAGTTTTCAGTAATAACTGCGCACATTTCGGAACTTGCGTGAGCAGACAACGCTAAGACATTCTACAACCCGAGGCGGAGGCTACAAAGGAGGACAAACACATCCATCTCAATTGAGACGTATGTCTTCGTAGCCTCCATCCCGGGTTGTAGAATGTCCATATTAACCAGCTCGCCTGCCTAGTAACGTTGTACACAACAATACTTCGGTTAAAAAAGGAATTCAGAGTACCAGTCAATGCAATATTACAAAAAAGCTTGCCTGAAGTGCTTAAGCAGAATATTGTGGTTAATATTAGAACACTGAACATTCATGTCTTTTGGTTCATATTACTTATTCTAACCGATGAGCATAGCCCGGTCACAGGTATATTTATGTGCCCCTGCAGAACAAGGGCCCATGCATTTGCAGCCGAGTGATATTAAGGCGGGTTAAAATATAAGTTGCACGTACCGTAGGATGCATAAGTTCTAGTATTGGTTCTATATGACAATATATCTGAGTACCAGATTCATGTTGATTCTTTCATTATATTGCAACATAATAATAGGATTTAAAAAGAAACGGTCCTCCCCGCAGCACATCCAATTAATGTGAGTAACGAATTGTAAAGCGAATTGCGAATTGCCAAGCGAATTGTTAATAAGGGTGTCTAGAAAGCAGCACATTAACATTAGACCTTTGCCTTTCTTAGTGTAAAGTTTGAACAAAAACATGGTTCAACATGTTCCAGGTTGCTGTTGAAGGTGCCAAACAAACACAAACCCCAAGGCTAATATTCTGCTCTACCAAACATATTTTTTTCCAAATTGCTGTCGGAAGTTAGACACTTTGCTTGATGTAATTGGCAATGCGTCAGCGACAGTGTGACCAAGCTGAATGAAACCCTTAATATTTACATGGGAATACTGCAATACGTTCGAGGAATCGTTATGCGTCTGCTATGCTGTTTTTCTTTTTTTTTTACAGGTTTGTTTAAAGAAAAGCCATGAAAGCTACACTTATGCGGTTTGTGCGAGTGAGTTATACGCCCAGGGGGATGTTACCGGGGTGGCTAATCTTCGAGATAAGTCGGCTAATTAATTGAAATTCGTTAATTATATTTTAATTAGTGGAAGTAGTCGTATGGTTCCAATTGGATATTTGCTGAGCGTCGTTCAAATCCCCTAGATCAGTAATTTTTAGAAGGACTTTGAGCGCGTGAAAAGCGCAAAAGTGTGCTGAAGTTACTACTCGTGGAGCAGGTACAAGGCTGGGGCTAGCTAAGAGACGGAAACATCGCGCGGGCGCCTTACCGCAACCGCCAGCATCGTGCTCCACAAGTGGTAACTTTATTGTACTACTACACTTCTCACGCGCTTAAAGTGTTTCTGAAAATGACTCATTTAATGGCTTTCGATAACACTCAGCAAGTTTTTAATTGGAACCATGTCTATTTTCACTAATTAAAAAGTTAACCAATTTTAATTAATTGGCCGACTTATTGCAAAGATTAGCCACCCACACAATGTCCCCCAGAGCGTATAACTCACTCGCACAAACCGCATAAGTGTAGCTTTTATGGCTTTTTTTTAAACAAATCTGTAAGAATAAAAAAAATCCTGTATATGTACAGAGCGCGACACTGTTAGCACGAACAAGCGATCGCCGGTTTTTTCATTTTTTCGTTTTGAAACCAAGGTATGTCATCCAAGTTGTTATTGCTACGGAAAGAGCTCATTTAGATCTATAATGTAAGCGATCAAAATTCGTGCTCGCTAATAGTATTTAGAAGTAAAATGCGAAAATGCGCCGATGTCGTGTTCGCGCTAACAGTGTCGCGATGTGTACAGTACTCAGCAAAGGAACACGCAACTGTATTACCTCTTAAGATTACATTAATCTATGACGTAGCGCACAAAATTGTTGCATTAAGCATTAAGCGTTCGGCCACCGACAAGTTCGCACGTTTATGAGGTAATGAACAGTTTGTGTGTTCCAACAAGTTTCGGAAACATTGCACATTGCCAAAGGAAAACAGTGTTTGAAAATTTTGACTTGTGCCCTATACTGTAAACGACTTATTTTTCGCGGGCTCAATATTTCGCGATTGAGGTAAAAGTTGAAGATTTGGAATAATTCGCGGGTTATAATTTTCGCGATGCGGCGGGATCCCAATATAGATTCCAATGTGTTTACGTGTTACCAAAATCGTTCGCGGGACCTTTTTTTTTTTTTTTTTTTTTTAGTTGTAGGCGATTTGGGAAAATTAGTATCTTCCGAAAAATAAGTCGCCTACAGTCTTCGAAATCTCCAATTCTGCGCCCAATTGGCTTTGCCGGAAATACGTTGAGGAGCACACCACCATTCAAAGGTATGCCAAACTGCATAGGATGTTGGTCAGGACACGATAACAGATGAGGTACATAATTTATTGCTAACGGCCTTTTGTCATTAACGCTGTCAAAAATTACTTATCAGTTATTGCTGCTTCACAGACAAAAATAAATCGCCTATTTATTTCTTCACGAAATGCATTATCCACTTGACAATTCCACCACTTGAAGGAATTAGAACTGTCCATACGATACATTTTTCCAAAGCAAATTCACAGTGCACATTTTCATAACTGAAAGACACATTCATAGTTACCTCTAAACGAACTTCAATGCTGCTGGCAGCTCAGCAGGGTAGTTTAGGTTGAGACAACAGTATGTGGCGTACATCAGCTCCATAGCAGAGAGGAAGCTGAAGCCTTCGAAGTACCTGGTGCCATCCAGTGGCAGTTGAAGATGCTTCTGCCTGAAAAAAAGTAGATCTTTTTAGTCATAAAGGAATGCTGAACCAAACGTTTATGATTGCAATTGTGTTTGAGAGCATTAATACCTAGGACTTTTGGGAGTTATACTATTTTCAAACATGGCACACCTTTGCAGTTTTTATCTGGGGAGGAGATTTTCAGTTTCTTCCGGTTAGCATGTATACCCATGAGTTTTATCGCTTTATTCTGGTGATATGTATAGTATATTTCTTTAATTCACAACGCTAAACCGCACTCCGTTGCGGTGAATGAACTTGATACGCGATGAAAACAAGTCAAATCCCATCCTCTAAAAAAAGGGAACTTGACACACAAAACCCTATTACAATTCACGAGCATGCTCATGAATGTGCGAGGCTGCATGCACAATGCGCGAGTCTGGTCACATATTCACGAGCAAGCTCGTGAATTGCGAGGTTGGTAAGGTCATGATCTCGAAAATATTTGTTTGGGGGCTCTGCAGTAATTTGTATTGCCAGAGCAAAGCTCTGCCACTATGGCCAGGATTCGGGTCGTCCAATGAAAGAACATTAACGCGCGTCGTGCGTACTGCAACTTCCAGTAGAGCTGCACGACGTCGTGCGTGTAGCAATACTCTTCATAAAAAGGGTGTCCTTCTCAGGCCATAAGCGGGAGTTCACTCTGAGCATGCGCAGCGTTCAGAGAGCTCCAATGTGGCGTCCAGTGAATACCACCTATTACAATAGAGGTTTCGACTCGACGGGGGTAATTTCGAAGTATATTCGTCTATCAGTAGCCCGAGTTATTTCGGAAATATCAGTTCCGAAAAAATCCAATCAATTTAGTCCACAAAACACCAGGGCCCGTTTTCTCGAACGCGAACCGTGGTTTAAAGTTAACTATTGTCCCTAGAAGGGGGAATTCCAGGTCACGTGACTGGGAGACCAGGGGCGCCGAGGGAGGAACAGTACCTAGAAGCAAAATGGCCGCGGCGTCGCTTAGTGAGGGCTAATAGTTCTGCTTGGTTCTGCTGAACATTCATTTCGATCTGGCTGTTATATTAATGACTCACCATCAACCTATTAGCATGTCAAGCAAAGCGATAGTTCAGGGGGACTACTAAACTGGCCGACGGCAGCATTCCGCGAACGCATCACTCTTCAGCAGTCCGGGATCGAAGACATATGACGGTACATAAGCCTTGCAAGTGTTTTTATGGTGAGTAAACAAAAATGTTTTGCGAACGAGTGTTGGTACATATTTATACTAAGACGTTTAATTTGTTACACTATGCACGCCAACTCGTGAGCAGCGATTACTTTGCGGAGAAAGGGGGTTATCCTCAATAAAGTCTTCGTTCCGGGTGAACAGCTGAGGCATTGTACTGTTTTTTTGTTCACAGTGCGTCGACAGTATGCCGATAGCATTGAGGTTTCCACATATCCCCGGTGGCCAGCAATTCAACGGTGACGAGAAGCTTAGCTTCTCGTCACCGGTGAATCGGTTGGACAAATGGAAGAGAGGGCAAACAGTTGAGATCAGCAGGAATCGCAGAAACGCGCGTCGCAAGGAACGAAAACGAGACTACAGCACCGGCGTTGCCAGACCGGCAGAAACACGGGAAAGTTATGCGTTGTTTATGGGGAAACATATTGAAGGAAGTGTTTCTTACATTTTCGAATATTCGTCGACAAACTCTAGCATAGTAGCTAAAATTTCTTCGTACCATCGGAAGCAAATAAATTGGTCTTCAAGTACAACATTACTATATTTTGACTTAAAATACCATACTAGATCGATGACAACCAGCGGAAAAAGAGGATGAACAAAATGACTGGCTTGTTTCACCGATAGATGGCGCATCTTATTGCCCAATCAAAAATAATTATTGTTGTTCTATATCCAGCCGTTTATTACAGCACCTAGGTACTTTTCCCTTCCTAGGCACCGTGCTTTACCAAAATGGGTTTACCATCGCTTCGAGAAAACCGGCCCTGGAGTGACGGAGCATCCGCGGCGCGCACACGAGCATTAGCAAGACGATGATTGATTACTGGCACAGCGCAGATAAGTTTACTGGGCGACTCAAAATATCGCACTATAATGCGTTGCTATTCCTAAGATGCATAAGCCTGCATTATTACTCTGCATCAAGCAGGTGCCACCTTTATTTGACCGCATATTCGAAAAGCTGCCAAGAACGCTCACACGGTCGAGAAGCTGAGAAACGCAGTGCTCCGCTATCTTTTTCAAACGCATAAAAAAAAAAAAAAAAAAAAGTTACAAACAAGCTCTCTTTATCGAACGCTGTATTGAGAATATATTACGCTTTTGACCTTAGGAATATACTTCGTTCCTTAAAACATAAATGACCAATGTTCACGTCTTCTAATCCGATCTTCCCTCATTCTCCAATTGCCCCATCCCCCTCCCCGATCAAGCGCTGAACTTTGAACCATGAGAGGTTGAAGTTAGCGGCGAATCTAGCTTAATTCGACGCGCCTAATACCCTTGTTACACGGGCACATTTAACTGCAGTTACGGTAAGCCACAGATAGCGCACAATACTTGCGGACGACATTCTGCGGCTATGCTGTCAAAGCTATGGGCGAACGTGCGCTCGAGCATCTTGAGCATCTATCGAAGCAGTGCGCTCGCGCTCTTCACTTCTTCTGATATAGCTGTCAGAGAGTATAGTGCGGTATCTGTGGTGCCGCGAAACAGAAGTTGAGTTAACCGCGGTTAAATGTGCCCGTGTAACAGGGGTATAAGTCACGCATGTTGACAGCGGCTTGGCATAATAATGCGGGAATATTGCGGAAGCCGTGCTCTCCTAGTGCGCAACTACTAAATAGGGTCGGGCAGTATGTCGCCCCGAATTAAAAACTATAAAAGGCCTAGCTTTATGCGGCTGGGAAGACGAGACGCTGCACGATGGGCATCCCGAACTTGGAATATACGACGCCTTTAGAGATAGTAAACTAACACTGGCGTTAGGAACAACTTAACGTATACGTACCTTGGAAAACGAAGCCGTCTGCGCACCGTAGAACGCCGCTGACGACGCGACAACAACGCCAAACTCGCCTTCCGAACGGGTAGCAGCATTCCGCAGCCCCCGGGCCCAAGCCGGCCGGCAATGGCTTGCGCATGCGCGGGAGAGAGATGTCTTCCTTCGCGCGGCGTAACTCGGCTCACGGGCGCTGTACTTCCGCGGTCTGATTGAGTTCCATAAAAATTCCTGGATATTCGGCACTTTTGGGCGCGTCCAATTCGGTTATACCAGTTGAACAGACTATAAACTGTAATCTAGTAAGGCTTTTTTTATTGATACGGATAAGCTCATACTTATTGCTTAAATAGCACATTTCAATGCATATGGTACAGTTCCCGTTTTTGAAAGCAAACAGCACATTATGTGCATTTCCAGGAAACGGGACATGTTCCACTCGGTTTTTCCACGTAGATTGATGGAATTTTCTAACAGTGTATACAAGCTTCGCCCTGATGCATGACTAGTTTTAATAAGCGTACTCAACAGCATTATATTCTCAAGATATCCGTCAGTACTTTTAAAAGCACGCTGTTCATCCACAAGGTGGACTATGTTCCTGAGACGTTTGTCAATTATCTTATGGAAGGTTCTCAAAATAACCAATCCAATAGAAATTGGTCTAAAATCCGCTGGGTTAGAAGACCTCTCTGTCTTTGGAATAAAAATTGTTTTAGCATTGGCCCATTTAAGTGGCAACCGCCCCCACCATAAGAAAAGGTTAAACAGTTTTGTCAAAAATGTCGTCGGAATAGCTTTAAACTCCTTGACAGAGAGGCCGTCAGGACCTGGTGCACTTGAATTACTTGGGAGAGCCTCCATCAACTCCTGCGCCGATATAGGCTCCACCGTCACATCTGGCGCATTACACAATTCTTCCGATAACTGCTGTCGTTCTTCCCCTCTTAGGTTCATTACCTGGTACCAGTAATTGACCAATTCCTCTGGGGCAACACTATCTTCATTGACACCATCAAATACTCTCTGGGCACAGACTTTCCGATTTTTAAGATACAGGTTTTGAATTATTCAGTACTCTTTAGCTCTGGCCTTTCTGTTACTCAGATGCTCCTCTCTAGGTGGTTGGTTAGCTTCCTGCTGTTGATGTTCATATTTGCAATCACAAGCCAATGTTCACGACAGCGCTGCGTTGACTTCGGCTATCTCGTTCTGTTTGGTGCAAAACGGCGATGCGAAAAAGAGCTGAAACGTTCGTGGTGTGTGGTGCGGTGCTTGGAGAAACTTGAAACCCACATGCACACTAACACGAAATGCAAATTGGTTGATGGGGGGGTTGAGGTTCAACGGGTCCAGTCCCGTCGTCGTCAGCTGATCCGGTCCAGGTGGTCCGGGTGGACGCAGCGAGCGTTTTTAAAAGAAAATCTTCCCTCGTTCCGTTTCAAACTGTGGAAATATCCCGACGCTTACCATGAGTAAAAAGCTGCGTGCGTTTTCAACAAATATTACGTCGTTTTAATTGAATAATGGACTCCGGATTGTTGTCCTAAATCTGCCGTTTTTATGCTTCGTGTTGGACTGCATTTGCATAGCGACGCACACCGCTCGTGTAGCTGATTCGGTCCTGCAAACAACCGGTTATACAAAATTTCAGGGAAACTTAAGTCACCACCGATATTTTTCTCTAAATCGCGTGCGAGTTTGTTGCACTCATCATGCGGTGTGAATAAATTAGGGCAAGATTTCCTTCCTGCCCACAGAGGCATGAACTGAGACCATTTTTTACGTAGTGAAGGTAGTGCTTTTTCTTTATTTTGGGAAGAGGCGTTGGGTGCGTTTTTTATGGTACAATCACTTGAGAGTTGAGAAATTGAAGAGAGCGAGCAAGCTTTCCCAACTTTGTCTCCTTCTCTCTGGCACCGCTCTGTTTAAGTTTCACTAGGCATATCTACTTGCAGGTACAAACTGCGGAAGGTAAAAAACAGGGGAAGCTTAGTACGGTGCGCACTCCGTGTTTCGCGCTCTTCGCAAGGTGACTGGGTAAATGCTTTTGCAAGGTATGCGGATTATGCAAGCGATTTCGTTATGCCCGTCGTTTGCGTCTCTCCAGCAAAAATAATAAGATGATCTACAAAGGCGCAATCAGAAGCCAAGATTTACAATAGCAGTGCGTTTGCTTCGGTGGTCCGTGTGGTTATATTTTACCCTGCTCTCTGCAACACCGTGTCATGACGAAGAGCTGGAACGGTCACGGTTTGTGCTGGCCTCCCGGTTGACAGAAACCCGCATCGCCCGCATCGGCACCGAGTACGCTTGGGCTGTTGATGCTCAAGCCTTTCATCAGCGGCTTGTCGCCAGCTGATCCTGCTACTCAACGGTGAGGAAACGGTGAGAGTGACCTCTGAAGTAAATGTAAATCCTCGTTCATTCGGTTATCCGGTGTCAAAGTGTGGAAGATGTCCAACGTGTACTGAGGGCGGGAACTACGATCGTTTTGCCTTGCTTTTATAACCGAAACCAGCGCAACGAGATAACTGCCTTGCGTACTCCACAATGACGGAAGCAATAAGTTTCAACAGGTCGAGTACGTCACGGCGTAACCGGGAATGTAGGCAAGACGGTGCACACTGGTTAAACGCTTGCAGTATCCACGAGTGGTTCCAGGAAAACGACGTCAACAGCGATCGGAGCTCGCGATTCAGCATAATGCAGTGCTACGGGCCCAGTGGCGTACCAACTTGTTTTTGAGTGGGGGGGGGGGGGGGGGGAGGGGGAGGGGGCAAACCAGACCCGACTCCCCCCCCCCAGGGCCGGGGGGCGGTGCCCTTGGTATCCCTTGGGCGCCGCCGGACAGTGTTTCCCCTGCCCAGTGGCGGCTGTTTCGGGGGGGGGGGGGGGGGGGGTAAAGCACATGCCTTGCCCCCTCCCCTCTGAGAACTGGGGGGGGGGGGGGCAAGCACCCCCCTTGCCCCCCCCCCCCAGTTCTTAGAGGGGAGGGGGCAAGGCATGTGCTTTACCCCCCCCCCCCCCCCCCCCCCCCCCGGTTGGTACGCCCATGTACGGGCCCGTCTCTTCAAAGTTCAAGGTGGTGGCAGTATAAAAAAAAGACGCATCAGCGCCACACCAGTGATCACGAATAACACCGGTCACGAACTCCCAAGCCCCACCGCTCCACTCAACGCCGACACGACATACGACAACAAACTGCATCAAAACGCCCCAAAAGTGAAGGCGTCTGCTCCCGTACTGCAACTAGCGGAAGTGAAGTATTAGGCGAATGTCGTTCACAAAAATATATAGAAAATGCTTTGCGCCAGGATCATATCCATTTATTATTGTAAACGTAATGAAAAAATCCCAATAATTTGTTTTTCTATCTGATTCAAGCTAGTCAGAGTGCTCATAACACTGGTCAAGCAGGAAAATAACAAAAATTGTAAACTTTTCATGACCGGTTTAAGATTTATTGTTAATATATCGTTAACAAAGTGCTCACCCGCACATGTCAAGCTTATATGCGCCGCGGGGAGAAATGAATATCGAGTAGGAAATGTCGGGCGGTAGTGTCGTTGTTGTGTCTGTGTACATGTCGGTGCTGTGTAATACGTGGTACTCGTGTTGCCTGCGATGTATGTAGGGTCGTCGTCAAGTCGTGGTCGTTCGCAGCGTATTAAAAGACTCGTTTTTTTTGTTTTTTTTTTAATATAGGCTGCTAGAAATTTCGCTCGGTGGCGCAAGTTTCCGCCCGATTCCAAATACTTTGCTCAAGTTATTTATCCATGCGAGTTCGGCATTCGTTCTTTTTCCTTTTTTTTTTTTTTTTTTTGTCTAGCGGCGTCGTTGAAGCTGCCGACGCCGCTGACCGCCGACAATGCACGTACGTACTAGGGATGCCGCGCATATTTTCGAACCTTAGTTCGATGGTCGAATCAAGCGGTTCGAAAGAGTTCGAATTTTCGAACTTTCCATATCGAGAAATCGACGGATGTCGAATTTTCGATCTTATTAAACCAGAAAGTTCGACGCTTTTCGAAATTTCGAGCTTATTACGCTGCAAAATCGATGCTTGTAGAACTTTCGACAAAATTCGATGATTTTCAAACTTTCGAACGTCTTGCACTAAAAAGCTCGAAGCTTTTTGAATTTTCGAACGTTCTACGCTAAGATATTCGATAATTTTTGAACTTTCGAATTTAGTAATGTATGAATTCGAAAATTGTCGAACTTTTGATTCCTGAAAAGTCAAAAGTTCGACGAACTTCGACCTTTTAGGGTAAAAGTTCGAAGTTCGTCGAACTTCGAAAGACCGGCGTGGCGGTTTCATTTGGATTCAAGCAGTGAGGTACATTCGTATTTCTTTTTTCGTAATTTTACATGCGGTGCCGCATTCCTTGCGAAAGACAATGCAGTTTATTTCAATCATCTGGCATGCTTGGTTTTAAAGAAATAGATTCCCGAAGGTGCGAGGAAGGACGACGGGTTTTTGACGATTGTCGTTTGTTCCATATTTGAAGCGCGCTATAGCCGAAGCTATTTATGGTACAGATGTTAAACTTTTTTAAGAATGATCCATGTATAGTCTAGGTACGTGTCGTCTTAAGATATGATTATTGTTGTTGAAGATGAGTTTCGAAGAAATATCGAAACATGTACTTACGGGCAATTATGCCCTAAAATTGGTAATTTTTTTTCGCCGACATTGTTTGAGGTATTGCATTTAAATTAATACCAGAGACAGTACATATCATTACCATCTGCAGAATACAAATATTGTATTTATTGTTTTTTTCGCATTGAGGAATAAATTAAATCATGGGGGAAGATTTCTGAAATTGTTCAAGTTCAGCTCGTAATAATTTTTTTTTTTCTCATTATACCGCCGTAGGGTTGTTCGTTTTCGGGTAAAACCCGATTTCACCCGATTTTTACACCCCGAACATGTTTAAGAAAAATCGGGTTAAACCCGATTTCTCCCCGAATTCCAAAAACACATAACCAACCTATTTATTTTTACGCCGCACGGAGTTTGCGGTGCGCACACGCTACCTACCCTACTTCGGGACAACAGTGACCTGCAGTTCATTTCGCGAGCTGCTCTCAACCAACCGCCCAACGAGCGCGCCTAACTCACCATGCATTCTATGGAGGCCGGCTGGGGAAAAGCGCCAATAGGCGTTGGGGCCTCGGAGAAACATTTCCGTCCCCCCGCTGTACAGGTGGAACCGC